TACTACTACTACTACTACTACTACTACTACTACCACTAATACTGATGCTGCTGCTACTACTACTACTACTACTACTACTACCACTACTACTACTACTACTACTACTACTACTACTACTACTACTACTACTACTACTACTATTACTACTACTATTACTACTACTGCAACTACTACTCGTTTTATTTCTGCTTATAGTCTTCGTATGATGATGCTGATGATGATGAGGATGTTGATGTTGGCGACTCTGATGCTTATTTTTCTTCTTATTATTTCACCCTCAGTATTGCGATCATGCTATGTATTAGATTCATGCTGTTTTACTAGTATGCGTATATCTATGACTATTAATCTTCACGCATCTAGGGTTTGTCTGCAGGCAGAGGGCAGGAGGCGGGAAGGAGGGAGCCCTCGGCACGCGGGGGGAGAGATGCGAGGAGGAAGGGGGGGAGGACTGAACAGGGGGAGGGGGGGAGAGATGCGGGGGGGGGATGGAGGGAGGAATGGGGGGAGGGCGGGGGAGAGGGGGCAGTAGGGCGAGGTAGAAATGAGTACCCCCAGAACCCACTGAAGTCACCGAAGCCGTCCGCCAAATTGTCTCCCCTTCCTCCTCCTCCTCCTCCTCCTCCTCCTCCTCCTCCTCCGCCTCCTTCTCCTCCTCCTCCTCCTCCTCCCTCCTCCTCCCTCCTCCTCTTCCTACTCCTGCTCCCCTCCCCGCCTAATCCTCCTCTCCTCCGCTCCCCTCTCATCCATCCATCCTGCTGCTGCTTATCGTCCTCCCAACGTTGCTCCCCTTCCTCTTCCTTCCCTCTTCCCTGTTTCTTCCTCCTCCGCCCTCCTCCCTCCGCCTTCCTCTGCTCCTCCTCCCGCCCTTCCCGACCTCCTTTCCATGCTCTTCCCTCCCCCCTCCCTCCTGCTCCTCTTGCCCTCCTCCCCTTCCATGCTCCTCCCGTTCTTGCTGGCGCGACATTCATGGCGCTGGAGCTCGAACACTCCAGCGGCTACAAGGAGGGGCGCCCACTGGTTTTCAGACTGTGGCCCACGCCTGCGAGTCACGCGCACTCGTCTTGAAAACTTCCAAACGCTACGCGGAGGGTGAACAAATCGTTTTCGACATGTGGCTCTCGCCTTAGCTCCGCGTGCACTCGTCGGCGGTTCCTTCTCACCCTGGGGCCACTGGGGCTCTCAAGACAATCATGTTTAGTGTGTGCAGCAAGTTCACGGGCGCATGGCACTCCTTGTTAAAGCTTCGGATTCCGTAGTTGACCGCCTCAGAAAATTCAGCTCGCATCGTAGATACAGGCAAACCGTATATTAAGGACGAGTGGTAAGGACGCAAGACCCTTGGGGGGCCGAAGTGTTTTTTTGACGGAGGGTGACCAGTGAAAACGGCGAATGACGAGCCGCAGAGGCAAGGGCACAAGGGTACCTTAGATGAAGGCGCGCGTCCTTACTAGGCGCGTTGACTCTACACGGATGGAGGACGATTCTTTTTCAAACACCGCTGTACCTTGACATCCTCTTTGACTCTATGACCCTATCCTTGGCACTTCAGACGGGTCGAGGCCGGCTACGTTTCGGAACAGGGCTCTCGCTCGAGTGAGATGCTCGCGGGGCTCTTGTCGTCCCCAGGGGGGGGCTTTCCGGAGTGAAAAGGGATGCTTGCAGGGACTTGTGCTGATGGGGCTTGGGGCAAGAGGTTGTGCTCCAGCATCGTTGATGCACCCTGGGCTCCATGCGGTCCTCCTCCCTCCGTCCCTCCCTCCGTCCCTCCTTCCCTCCTCCCTCCTTCCCTCCTCCTTCCTCCCTCCCTCCCTCCCTCCTTCCGTCTTTCCTGCCCCTCCGCCCACCTCTCGCCTCCCTCGCCCTGCCGCTCGAGGCGGGGAGGCGGGAGCCCGCGCTTGCGGGCCTGTCGCTGCCCGGCGGGGCGCGGATCTGCATGCGGAAGAAGTATGCCCAGGCGGCCTGGTCGTCGTCTGGGTCCTCCACCTGTTAAAAACAAATAATTACGTGAATCCTCTCGGTGCCACACAAGAACGCACATGAACACACAGGCACACAGCACACAAGACACACCACACACCACACACCTGTGTGTGTGTGTGTGTGTGTGTGTGTGTGTGTGTGTGTGTGTGTGTGTGGGGGGGAAGCGGGGGAGGATCGAACAAACAACGTAACATCGCGTAGCATTGCAGAGCGTATCGCGGCATGTCGTGGAATAGCATGGCATGGCACCAGAGCGTAGGACCGTGTGTCATGGCATGGCATGGCGTTGCAAACACCGCAACGCGCTGCGCACCACGGCACCGTATCGGGTAGCGCAGCGCATCATAGCATGGTGTTTCATAATATAGCGCAGTAGGCCTTACAGCTGCATGGTATTGCGCAGCGAATTGAGGCACGACGCAGCATGTCATTTCATGGTATACCATTTTGTCGTGCCGTGCAACATGACACAATGTAGCATGCAGTGTCTCGCAAACCATGGCATTATGTAACATGACAACCACGGTGATGCACATGCACTGTTGTAATTTGTATTCACACACATATATATACAAGGAAAAAAGAGAATGATACCACACACCGTCTATCTATACACATACATACAAACATACACCTACACACATGTATGTACTCATACACATATAGACATCTGTGAGCCAGCGTGGACCTCATAAAACCATATCCCCAACGAGTTTACCGAAACCATATTAAAAAACACTAGGTGTCGCAACAACAGTTTACACATGTTGCTTGCTATCGCGGTCTTACGGATTCTTACGAAAGCCGTTGGTTTTCCAACATGTCCATCACATTCTGCCAGAAGTGCCTCTCGCGCCACATGTCGAATTCATTCGAACGCTCTTGCGCGCGTGCTGGGGGGGGGCGAGGGGGGGGGCGCAATCCGTTTCAAAAAATACCATGCGGACCACCCGCGCGCGTCGGCCGCGCACGCGCATGTATTTCAAAGAAAAATCATCGCCGACGAGAGGACATCGTCATCGTTGTCGGCGGGCGTGAGCAACATCGGCGCCGTCATTGGTCTTGCCGTCGTCGTCGCCACCATCGTCGCCATCATCGCTACTCCCATGATCGTGTCTACCGTTGTCGGCGTCGCCATAATACCGCGCCCCCCCATGTCACCGACTCGCTCTGAAGTGCCCGCTGGGAAGTGCCCAGCGGTCACCCCCGCCGGGGCCACGTCGGTCGCGCCAAACTAGCTGGCCGCTGTGCGCACGAGGATGCGCGGCTTAGCGCGGCCGCAGAGATGCACCGGCCAGCGCCAAGCAGTCGTCGCAATCGCCGCCGCAGAGGTTTTTCAAACCACGTTGCGGGTGGGTGGGTGGGATGTTTGCAAGAGCGTGGGATGTGTCAACTCGTTTATAAACATCAATGCCGCATGATATACAGTACCACATACATTACGCATCACATACATCGCACAACATATATTCCCCTGCCTCACAACGCATGCGATCTACCGACCCCCCGAGGCCCATATTATCGATCCCCTCTGAGGATGTGCAAGTCAAGCATGATCTGCCCCATCATTTGTTCAGCTCATATCATCCCAGCCAAGCCGTGTTCGATCGCCCCTCCACCCCCAGATCGAAGTGCACGCGCGCGCGTCGTCGCGCGTACATGACGAAATCTTTCAATAACCTCAGTTTCGCGAGTAATTCAAAACCGAGTTCACGCAAACGTAAATGAACGACGGGTGTGGCAGCGCCCCTTTCAAAAAAGGTCTGCGCGCACTCTCTTGTGAATTCTTAGGAAGCCATGCGCTTTCTAGCGTGTTCGTCGAATGCGACCAAGCGGGCCTTTCGCGCGCGCTTGTCAGAATCATTCGAACGCCCTCGCGCGCGCGCTGGGGGGCGCGATCCATGCCAAAGGACACCATTCGGCCCAGTCGCGCGCGTTGGCCGCGCGCGCACGTCAAAAGCATTCCAACGTTCATGTCCAGCACGTGGACAGCATCATCGTCATTGGCGTGGTCACCGTCGGCACCGTCATTTGCTTCGCCGTCGTCATCGTCGTCGTCGTCGCCAGCGTCGCTACTATCATCGTCGCGTCTGCCGATGTCGGCGTCGCCGCGATGCCGCGCCCGCCCGAGCCCGCGATTCGCGCTGGAATGCCCGCGCGTCAGCGCGGCCTGCCAGGCGCGATGGGAAGCGCATGCTGGTCAGCGGTGCCGCGGCCGCGTCGGTCGCGCCAGGCTAGCTGGCCACTTTGCACCCGGGCTTGCGCGCGCTAGCGCGGCCGCGCTGCGCCGGCCAGCGCCGAGCAGCCATCGCAGTCGCCGTCTCATGGATGTTGCAAGCCAAGTTGCGGGTGGGCGGGTGTGGTGAATGCTCGAGCGGTGGAGTTGTCATCGTCTAGTTCGGGAGGGTGAGCTTCCCTCTCTAAGCAATTCAAATCTACCCCCCCCCCGGGAGTATCCGCCGCCAGGGGGATGTGCAATCTACATATGATTCTGCCTCGTCGCTCACTCGAAACATGAACCCATGCCATCGCAGCCCACCCCGCATCGACCGCCCCCCGCCGTCCATTGCAAAAAGAGCCACGCCCGCGCACCAGTTTACCAAACACATCTGTTCAGAGGAACCCTGTGCAACGCAAAAAGGGGGAAAATGCGCGCGCGCGTCGTCGCGCGCGCGCTGGGATCCCTCTAAAGCCTTCGGTTTTTTAAGGACTTCACAATCGAGTGCCATCTTAGAAACATATGCGCGCGACCTCTCACGAATTCATGCGAAAATCACGTTTCTGAAATAGCCCAAACATAAAAATCATATATATATATATATGATCAAGTGCGACCACGCGGGCCTCTCGCGCGCGCGCGTCGAAATCATTCGGCCGCTCTGGCGCGCGTGCTGGCGAACGCGGGCCGCTCGCTCTCGCCGGCCGCGCGCGACGCCGAAATCCTTTGTGCAACCTTCATCTCCAACGCGTGGGCACCATCATCGTCATCGGCGTGATCAGCGTCGGCGCCGTCATGGCCTTGTCGTCGTCATCGTTATCGTCGTCGTCGCCGACTCGCGCTGAAGTGCCCGAGCGTCTGCGCGGCCTGCTGGGCGCGATGGGGAGTGCTAGGCGATCAGCGCCGCCGCGGCCGCGTCGGTCGCGCCAGATGAGCTGGCCGCCCTGCGCGCGAGCCTGCGCGCGCTGGCGCGGCCGCGGCGATGCGCCAGTCAGCGCCAAGCAGTCATCGCAATCGCCGCCTCGCGGACGTTGCAAACCAAGTTGCGGGTGGGTGGATGGAATGATTGCGCGAGCAGTGGAATAGACAACTCATCGCGAACCAAACTTACTAGCACCACGTAGATTGTACCACTTAGATTGCTTCGCATATGCTGCGCGACATATAGAATATCTGGTCCAGAAAGTGATGGATTCCACCGCCTCCCCGAGGTCGGACTTGCCCCCCCCCCCCCCCCCTCCCCGGTGATGCAATTGACGCATGATTCTGCCCCTTCGTTCAGTCCCAACCCAGTCAGTAAAGCCCCCCCCCCCCTAGGCCCCCCCCCCCGAAACAAAAACGCGATGTGCGCGCGCTCTTTTATCGCGACTCATCAATCTTCAGGAAGCCCTTGCAGAGAAAGCCACGGTGTGCACGCGCGCGCGTCGTCGCGCGCGCGCCGTAATCTTTCAAACCTTCAGCTTCGCATGGGCTTCAATGTCGAGTGCCCCGAAACATGCGGACTAACGCCTCACTTGGCAACGTGACTTTTCAGAAATGGTCTGCGCGCGCGCTCTTCCGAATCGGCGCGATGGTCGAGTTCGACCGAGCGGGCCTCTCGCGCGCGCGCGTCGAGATTATTTGATAGCCCTTGCGCGCGTGTCGGGGTGGGGTGGGGGCTGGGGGGGGGGGCGCGATACTTGTCGAATGACGCCGCGCGGGCCACTTGAGCCAGTCGGCCGAGCGCGCGCGTTTGATTTCCCCCAAAACGTTCATCGCCAGCGCGTGGGCGCCATCGTCGTCGCCGGCGTGATCGGCATCGTCGCCGTCTTTGGCCTTGCCGTCGTCGTCGACATGGTCGTCGCGAGCATCGCTGCAGCAGCGCTGGCGCGCCGGCGCTGAAGTGGTCGCGCGTCAGCGCGGCCTGCGAGGCGCGATGGGCAGTCCCCAGCGGTTAGCGCCGCCGCGGCCGCATCGGTTGCGCCAGACTCGCCAGCTGCTCTGCGCGCGAGACTGCGCGTGCTGGCGCGGTCACAGCGCCGCGCTGGCCAGCGCCACGCAGTCATCGCAATCGCCGTCGCACGCGTCTTGCGGACCAAGTTGCGGGCGTGTGGGCGGGGAGATTGCGCGAGCAGTGAAGTTGGCAACTCACGGCGGGCAACAATGAATTGCGCGTCGTAGATCGCACCACCTTAATTGAAGGCATGGATGGCGCAACCCAGATTCTCCTTTCTACAAGAAATTCGGACCCCCTTTGGAATCATCAGTTCGCCCTCGGGATGTTTACTTTACATCCGATTCTGCCCCGTCTTTCGTCATGTAAGCGAATTCGTAAGTTCATGCCATCCCAGCCAAACTGGTGTCGACTCCCCCCTCGTCCCTTTTCAAAAGACACACTATGCGCGCACGCTTGCTCATCGAGAGTGATCAATTAAAATATGCCTTGCAACAGGTGGGGCGCAATCTGCGCGCTCGCGTCGTCGCGCGCGCGTGCCGAAATCCTCTAGGACTTCGCAGGGAAGTAAGATTCGAGCGCCCTGGAAACATAAAAGACGCATGACTTGGCAACGCGTCTTTTCCAGAAAGGTCTGCGCGCTCGCCTGACCGAAATCTGATGCGAAACATAATTTTAACGTGTCCATCGCACGCGACCGAGCGGGTCTCTCGCACGCGCGTGTCGAGATCAATTGGATGCCCTTGCTCGCGTGCTGGGGGCGGGGGGGGGTGGGGGCGCGATCCCTGTCAAGCCATGCCGCGCGGGCCACTCGCGCGGGCCACTCGCGCCCGTCGGCCGCGCGCGCGCCTG